TGTTAAAACAGCTGTTTGTGATATTCCACCACGTGGTCTTAAAATGTCGGCTACATTTATTGGTAAAATAATTGATATAGGAAACTAAAAAACAAAACGATATTAATAATATTTTTTTCTTTATTTAGGCAATAGCACTGCTATTCAAGAATTATTTAAACGTATTTCGGAACAATTTACAGCTATGTTCCGTCGAAAGGCCTTTCTTCATTGGTATACTGGTGAAGGAATGGACGAAATGGTTTGTTATTATATTTGGTTTTTTTTTTGCAAGTTTGATTTTATATTTGTTTATATTAGGAATTTACTGAAGCCGAATCCAACATGAATGATCTTGTAAGTGAATATCAACAATACCAAGACGCCACGGCTGAAGGTAAAATTTTATATCTTATATATTGTTTTTTAATAAATATAACATCTTGCTTTTTTCTCATTTGCAGAAGAAGGTGAAGGTGGTGAAGAAGAAGGCGAACAAGAAGGTGCCTAAATCAGCCAATAAGCAACAACAACAAAAAATAGACATTTTTTTTATTTCATCAACTACCAAATTCTTTTTTTATTATGAAGTTCTTCGAATCTCTCTAGTTTTTTTTCTATATGATCATTTGTCTCTTCTTTGTACAATGTCGCGTCGTGTCTTGTATGTGAAAATTGAATAACAACAATGAATAGAAACACCCAAGAGACAAAAAATACTATCATCAATTGATGGAATGTTTTCTTTTTCATACTAATAAATAACAATGAATGATACTATGGAAATAAAAATTTTTTTTTTCTACTGATTCTTTGCAATGAATTGTTGGCTTTTATGTCAATAGAAACATTTGTTTGTCTTTTATAAGAAAGAAAAAGAATGTTATTGACATTAAAACAAGAATCGATTGAACAGAGTTTTGAAAGCATGAGAATGGTTCTTTGTAATAAAATTAAATTTTTTAATTTGAATTTTGCTGTTGGACTTTTGTAAATAATCAAAATTTGTGAATCGATGATTGTTACTATAGTGTGTAATTTATTTTTTCAAATGAAAGATCAACCAGTTAATAATTATATATAACACACTAGAGATACTAAAAAGATTGAAATACTGAAAACAGTGTCCAATAATCTGGTCCGTGGTTGATTTGTCCCAACTTAGTTATTTTTAAATTCAGCTCATCTCTAATTAGGCTCTTATTTGCCAATCAATTAAGATAAGCAAAATGAGTAACAGATAATTTGAGGGGGTGTCTAGCGTTCAAGCACATTCTACTTTAGCACACACCCTTTCGACAACGCCATTCAATACAAATCTTGTTTACACGTCTGGCAGCGTATTGAAAGTTGAATTAGTTCAGCAGTCGTAAAACTAAGCATGACAAATAAGTGGCGACGAGAATAGTGAATACAACGATTAGTTCTATATTTGTATTGAGGATAGTTTTCTCACGATATACGAGTATTATATAACCTCAACATTAATTATTATCTCTCATTGATCGTGATTGAAAGATTAATTAGGGCCTAGTTCGGACATAGTTAAAATGGGACAATCTATCTTATTTATCAATTACGAACAAGTGAATGAAAATAGTTTATCCTGTTAGATATTTTAGAATATATTAATTTCTACTAGAATTCTATATTGAAATTTTTTCTTTCATATTAAATCATATTTATATCTGAATATGTTTCAAAAATTCGTAGGAAAAGTTTAGAATTATTTTTCTGCGCTATTGATGAAGAAATCAATTTATGTACATAATGATAGACTGCTTCTTTCAAAGCAATCACATTGATAGATACACTTAAAATTCTAGCATAACGATTATTTACTACAGTGTTCGTGAATAATAAAGGAAATTATGAATGAAATACCAGCTTGAAAGAGATCTTTAGTCACAGAACATTTATTAATAATTGAACATAAAACTAGAGTTTTTTTTTTATTACTTTAGATGACGCAATACATGAGTCTCTTGACAGATGTGCTTTCTCGATGGATAAAGCAGGAGACAAAAATCAATATTACATCATTTAGTCCACATACGAAAAAGAAAAACATGTAAACATTCAACATCTTAGAAGTGTTGATGATCCGCTGATATTTACCAATATAGTTAAGACAATCATCTTTACAGACACGAATAAGTGTTCGAAATAATTAAATTTCATTTGTTTATCTAATCTTCATCATTGTTTATCTCATTCTTATATTATTATACAATGTCAATTGTAAAATACTCAAAAGATAAGGATCAAATTCTATTTTAATTTTCCTATCTAATGATTATATTGACAATCAAGATCAAGTGAATCCAGAATATTGTTTTTAAATTATTCACTAATAAGTAATCTGAATGATTCGATGGTGGTCAATTAATTTCCAGCACATTTTTATGCGTTTTGGTCTTCTCTTTGGAATGGTGAAAACTGGAGCCTTCTATGTTGTTCCTACCAAAAGTTATTCAAAAAATACCCACGACTCTTGTCATCAACAGATTTAGCATCACTCTCTTGAGGTAAAACTCGATCCTTAAATAATTCATCAATAGTTCAAAATACAGCCTTTGTTCTTTGTTCTGTACACAACGTTTTCATATATTTTGTCCGCTTCAAACCAATTACTGAATGCACAGCTTGGTTGAACAATCGTCATGAGTAGCAAATAAACGAATAAGATAAATAATTATTGATTTCTACTATGTTTTTTTTTGTATAGAATTGTTTAGTAGTTTATTAAAAAAAAACTACGTTGATCGATTGCAAAAAATTTTTCCTCACATTCTCATGTTAATATTTTTATTATTAAAAGAGAAGATGACGAGTGGCCTATAAAGAATGACCCATTCAGTGTTTTGTATACATTTCAATAGTATTAAAACGTGAAGAAGCAAATTCTTTTTTAAAAGACGCATCTTTTAATTCTCTACCATCTTACATATTTCAACTAAGTCGATTAGGATTCGTCACTTTGAAATTGACGACGAAACCGATATATCTAGTATCTACAATTTTTCAAAAAAACGCTTTTTATCAACTTTTGTTCTACACACTTTAAATCTTGAGTAAGTTTTTTTTCAGTGTCTCAATTAGTTTGAACGAACAAACGATAAAAACATATGATTAGTGAAGTGTTTTAAAAGTTTGAAAGTCGATTTATTTGTATCTGAATACACATTATTGTTAATCCACGAAAATGTATGCTAATGCTATTGCTATTCATCTTTGAAGTTGTAAGTGTAGTTTTATTCTAATTTCTGAAAATCTTCATAAACCTAAGCAGATGTATATTACGGTTGTGACGTCAATACATTACAGAAAACATGTTTACATACTAAACATCTACCCATTATCGTTCGAAATTATTGAAAGTTTTGACAAATCTAAACGAAGTCTTAATAGCAATTTCACAAATGAATAGCCAATAGTATACACTTTCGTGAATTAATAATAATGTTTATTCAGACACAAATAAATCAACCTTGAATCTTAAAATAATCTATTAGTCATAGGTTTTTATCGTTTGTTAGTTCAAACCAATTGAGGCACTGAAAAAAAAAACTTACTCAAGAGTTAAAGTGCGTGGAACAAAAATTGACAAAAAGCTTTTTTTTGAAAGTTGTAGATTCTAGACATATTGGTTTCGTCGTCAATTCCGAAAAAACGAATTCTAATCGAACTAGCTGAAATATGTAAGATTGTGGAGAATTAAAAGATATGTCGTTAAAACAAAACCGCTTCTTCACGTTTGAATACTATCGAAATGTATGCAAAACATTGAGAAGTCCATTCTTTATGGACCATCCATTATATCTTTTCTACTAATTCGAATTATGAAATATTCACTAGAATTTAGTTGATTTCACTTTATTATAACGGATGCAATCAGGGTTCCCGATTGTTTTCAGAAGTGGGGGGAGGGGAAAGCCCCTCCCTGCCTACTAATTGGGAACTCTGGATGGAACGAAAGTTTTGAAACAAAATGTTTCTTCATTTTTCGATCAGTTAAGATGGTTTTGCAGAAGCTATCAAATATTGATTTAAAATCAGAATTTTGTGTTCTTTTCAAATCTAGATTCAAAATTTTTATTACATTCATATTTTAGAAGTTATGAGCTAATCTATGAAAGGTATGAAAATAAAGTTTAGACAGATTTCAGAGCACAAATGTACAGCATAGAAAAAAAGAATTTATTTCAAATACATCAAAAAAAGAGAGGAAACATTTTTTTCTACAAAATAATATTTTGATAATTAGTTTTCTGTAAGGCGTCTATTAACAATACAGGTTTTGACAAGTGACATAGTAGCATGCTAGTCATGCTGTGCAAAAGATTGCTATTAGAATATATATTCAAAAACAGACATTATTTATTGAAAGGAACTGATCCAAAAAATATTCAAAACGTAATGTGGTCAACCGAAAGAAAATGAAACTTACATAAAACTAATATCTCTACTCCAGAAATACGAAATTTTTGAAAAACACTATGAAAATAATTTCAGACGAGATAAAGTTGCACTCTCTGTCTATAATTATTTTAGATGAAACTGTATGTACCCGAATTTTATTTTTTACATCTTTCAAAGATTTGTTCATAACTTCAAAAATCTGAATCTAATAAAAATTCCGAATCTAGATTAAGAAAAAGTAACAAAATTCTAATTTTAAACTAATATTTTGTATTTTCTGGTGACTATTGTAATCAACGGAAAATTTTTTTCTTAAAACTTTCATTTCATCCCTTATAATTCATAAATCATATAGATTTTTTCTTTTATGAAAAAACATCAATTAATTATTTTATTATTGAAAAAATTGTAGGAATTTTATAAAATTTCCTTTCTATTACTTATATTTGTTTAATATAGCATTTCTCTTTAATGATTTGATTAAAAAACAAAGTAAATCAAATCATATATCACAAATGCATTGAATATATTAGAAAAGATTAAAATAAAATAATTATACAAAAAGATCTTTGTTTTTTTTTTTTTTTTGTTCACATATATTAATAAACAAATAATGAAGTATTAACAACAGTAATAGTATTCGTTGTAGTAGTTTTTATTTTTTGTAAAGAACCATCATCATTATATGCCACAAGATAAATCTCAGAAAACTAAATAATCCAAAAAAACAAAAAATTTACAATAAAATTTAATTTTTTGTTTAATTTGAAACTAACCATATATTTACTCATACAAAGTAATATTGCATTAATAAATGACCAGAGTGATAACATTAAAAGTAAAAGTGTAACCGTAGCTAATGTCCATCGTTTGCAGGTCATTTAATCGAATCTGATCGAATTTTTTTTTTTCTTTTAAGAACTAAATTGTTACAACCAATTACATATGATCAACGATGCCTCTATTATAGATCGATTATGATTGGTCAAAAAAATATCCTAGTTTCTTTACGTACTTCGTTGATAGGTGACAAGTTTAACCTTGTACACCCTCGAAAAAAATAACACTGTATTGAAATTCGAATAAAATTGACATATGTCTTTATTCATTATTCCAATTCATCAATCAAAACTTGTCACTAAAATATAGTGAAAATGCATAAGTCTAGCATATTTCATGAAACGAATTTTATCGAAACAAAAAAAAAACAAAATCTTAAAAACCTATTTTCTATCTTTCAGTTTTTATTTGAATATAAATTATAGTCTGGAACTTAACACACTTGTTCTTATTAATATTGATAATGTAACTTCATCAAAGTATATTTACATTATTTGAATTTGTCGATCAAATTCTTTGTCGATTATTGAATTAAATTTAATTCGTTTCTTAAAAATGTACATTGGATTTTCTAGTGAAGACAAAGTCTTCATTATCTAGTCTTTAATATATATATTGATAAGTACATATTTATGTGTAACTATGATATAAAAAATAATTGCTGTTTCACGTCTTTTTTTTATCAAATAAAATTTACATTTTTAATCTCAAGGTTACATATACAAAGAATTGAAGATGAAATTTACATGTAAAATAAGGAATAATCCCATAATAAATATACGCATTTTTCATATTAATCATTTATCTATGTTTTCTTTTCTGGTATTATGCATGTATTTTTTTTTCTTATTCTTTTCATTCATCGTAACTATTTTTAGTTAGATGCAATATATGTTGTTGTACATTTGACATTTCTTATTGTTGATATCATATTAACAAATTTTTTATCATGATATTGTTACTAATATATGATGACTCATCAATACAATTCATATCTTTCGTTATTTCGATTCTTACTAATGCGCATTTATATCTAAAGCAAGTGTAGGTGGGAGTCGAGCATTTGCCCGCCAAATGTGCATATATACACATAAATAGACTCATACAAGCGTAGAACACGACAACAAAGTGGACGGCTTACTCATTGTAGATATTCATCGATATAAATTTCTCAGTAAGAGAAAGAAAAAAAAACCGCACAATCGCTACTCAGATGTGTCGCCTGTGTATTCTCTTTCGTTCTATTTTTTTTTATATTTCTATTCTTTTTCTTCTGTCGCCGCTTTATATGCAGACAAGGCAATACTGCCCCAAAAAAAAATAGAGGAAAAGAATCTATGTATATGTATATGTACACATACACAATTTCGCGGTGACGGTAAAAGTTTGTATTTGTATTGAATGAAAAGAGAAGAAAAACCCTGAAAAATACTTCAAATGCTTATTTACTTGCTTATCAATATATTTTTAATTACATTAACAACATATTATATTTTTTTTAATCTTTTGCTGATATAATAAATATTCTTTATATTATTTTATTTTCTAGATGGCAACAATGCGTCATTCTCTAGCAATTCTATTTATAATATTATTAATTGAAATAATTCATAGTGAGGTAACATTTGACTCTGTATGTTCACCTGATGTTGAAGTTTCTGGAATGTCATCAACGGATGGTAATGATGTATATGCAATAGATCTTTCTGACACAAAATTTTCACCTGAAGATGCAATTTCAGGTAAGAAATAATTTGTAATATATATATATTTATTGATTTTGTTTTGTTGTTCCAGTATATTTAAGACAAATCCGTCCAAATTATGGAATTAATGAATTTGTTATACGTGCATTTGATCATGATGGAAATGTTGTTGGTCGATTTGATGATCCACAAATATCAAATTTAATGGTAAAACATCATACATGTCCAAATGGTGCTACTGTAAGAATTTTATTTTCAAAAAAAGAAAAAGATTTATTTTATTTTGTACTTATTTAGGCTGTTTATGCAGATCATGTTGACAGTCCTGGTTATCGTGAAATTCCATTAACATGGAGAGCTACTGGTGTTCATCAAAATCTTGATGAAATTATTTTTCGGTAAATTTATTAGATTTTCCTATGTAATATTGATTTTTTTTTTAATTTTTCATTCTAGAGCCGCTGTTGTTTCAAATCGACAATTATATCGAGTGAAAGCAACGTCTTTAAAACGAGTACATATTGTTTGGTGTATTTTTTGATAATAAATTTTTGCTTATTGCTCTTTTATTTTTCTTTGTTTTATAAAGCGTTTACCACCTGGAACAATTCCTTTTTCACAAGATCAATCAATTAATATTGATCAATGTGGTGAATCTCAAGGTTGTTTAGTTGTTCCACAACAATGTAATAATGCTGGTAAATGTGAATATACACTTTCATGGCAAGCTCTTGATGATGAAAGAGCTAGATTTCATATTGTTGCAAGAGCACAAGGTTTTGTTGGTGTTGGATTTTCAAAAGATGAAAAACGGGTAAGAATAAAAGTTAAATTTGACGAGTGAACATGTTCATAAGGAATAAATATAATGTTTCTAATCTATTTTCATACTGTACGATTTGGTTTTTTTAGTTTTTGTAATATCGATCATTTTTAGAGATGTATGGAACCGGTACCATGAGGAAAAAAAAGGTTGTCCCATCTGTAACTGAAAATTATAGTTAAAAATTCTATAGTTTTAAGCGAATTAGCTTATGAATCATATCAATAAGAATTTACTTGAATAGAGATGACTTAAAAGTGCTAGTCATCGACTTAAATAAATAAAAACAAATATTGAAGAATTTTTTTAGATATGAATTCTGGAATAGTTTTCTCTAGGCCAGGACTAAATTAGATTTACTAAGATCATAATTAGTACCAATACGAAAGAAGTTACCGACAGAGATGGAATACGGTCTAGATTTTTCACGACTAGTACCGGTAACGGTCTGATTAGACCAGGTCGGATCGGATCGGATCGGATCGGATCGACCAGTCGGCCTGAAATCCATACTGACACTGGATTAATAAGTTATTGTACTATTTCATCTATGCGTAGTGATATTTGATATAGTCAAATTTCAACAAAGCTTCATTACACATCTTCTATGAGATATTAAGAGCAAAAAACTTAATAGGACATACTGGTAACGATTGATCTACTAGCAGACCGGCCGGTAACCAGTATCGGTTCCATCTCTGGCTACCAAAAGAGGGACCAAAAAACATTTACTCCCATACATCTCTAATCATGTCACTCGGAGCTATTGTATAGAAATTAAAGAGATAAGAACTACAATAAAATCAACAGTTAAAAAACAAATCGTTTTTATACGTTGACAAACTTCGACAATTATAACATTCTTCAAATTCTTAGAAAATTTCTTATCGTTTAATGTCACAACATTCTCTATTTATTACCGATAATCTGCAACTATTAAGAGGATAAATAAAGACTTACTTTTCTTCATCATTAGAATTTCAATGTCAAATAATGATTCTAAATTCATAATTGTCAAAGAATTTTTGTTTTTGTTCATTTAAGGGTGATGATCAAGTTATTTTATGTGCAAAAGATGCTCAAGGTCATGTGTCCGTATATAATATGTTTGTTAGTGTTCAAAGTCCACAATATGTTTTTCGCGGACGACCATCGTATGGTTTACGAGATGCAGAGGGCTATTCCAATGGACCGCATATTATTTGTAAATTTGAAAAAAGCTTAGCGGCATATACAGACGATTTAGTCGAAGACGATGAACGAAATCGTGGTAGAATTGATCGAGAAAGATTAGTTGATTTACGACAACCTCATTATATATATCCAATTTATTCTGATGAAGATTTAGTGACAGCACAAGGTATGAAAAATATTATAGAGAAATATAATAAGATGATGATTTTGTTTTTAGGAATGCGTATTCCTTTTCAAGATATTTCAATTGTTAATAATCATCCAGTTAATTTTCAACGTCGTCTTTGGCAAAAATCACATCCAGAAGGCGCATCTGTTTTAGCTAAAATTCATGGTAGAATAAAATAGAATGATTTTTAGTATTTTATTTTCTATTTTGTTTTCTTATCTAGCTATTTTAAATATAATTGCTTGGGTTCTTTTTGCATCAGCTGGTGTTATGATTGCTCGGTATTTTGATTCACTTTGGCCAGAATATGAACGACAAGTTGTTGTAGATGGTACAGGTGCTGTAACAGGAGAAACAGTTCAACGACGCAGACGATTTTCTTATTTTACAGTAATTAATTATAATAATTTTTTTGTTTTTAGTTAAATATAACTCTGTCTATTTAAATTTGTTTTTTTCTTTCAATAGATCTTACCTCCTATTATGACTCTTGTAGCCATATTAACATGGATTGCATTTTTTTGTATTCTTTTTGAACTCAATTGGAGATGGACATCTGGAACACATCATATGTGGCATTCAATTCTTGGTGTTATTGTACTTGTTTGTGCTTTTCTTGCTGTATGTAAAAACTTTTATTTTTTTTATTTCATAAGAATAATTGAAAAATCGAGAATATATATATATATGAATATGTTAGGCTACTATTTTTTTTCTTGAGAAATTTTATTTACAACTAGTGTTTAAAACTGATCGTTCCAAGAATTCGAAAAATAAAAGTCTTTTTCAATGTAGTATGTCAAATTACATTTAGGAACATAGTTTTATTTAAAAAATCTTGACACACATATTCTTGTAGTCATTTCTAAGATGTATTTAACTGAATGAAAAAATCAAAAGAAAAAAGAATTGTAACTCTATTCTGACATTATTCATGTTTTCATTTTTTTTTAAGCCAATTATTGGTGTTTTGCGACCAGTACCTCATACAAAACCTTATTGCATTTGGTATTGGATCCATTGGTTGGTTGTTTCATTAGCTCATTGTCTTGCTATTCCGGTTATATTTTTGGGTATGGATAATCGTCGTTTAGATTTATGGACATGGTGTTCATGGTTATTATTTGGTTGGTGTATATTTCATTTTAT